CGACATTACACAACAAGAGGCGACCCATGCCTCTCATTTTCTCTTCATTCCCTTTCATCTGTATCGGTCTGTGGGGTTCGCTTCATCATCACTTGTATCTGCAAGTCTGAGTGAGAGATCTTTTGAAACATGGACGTTGCTGGTTCAAGAAGATCGAGCAGAAACACGAGCCCAGATCGCTTCAAAATTTGCAGGCTCCATCACAATAATGTCAAACCCCTTAAAAAGGTTCAAGTTGTTTACTATCTCTCCCGAAGTGGCCTCTTGGAACATCCTCATTACCTGGAACTCACTCTCTCCGCCAATGAGCCTCTTCGACTGAAGGGTAACTTTTACTTCCCAACACCAAGCTTTCACTTCTTTTCTTTTCTTCTTTTTTGAGCAAGTCATTCAGTTCTCTGATTCTGAAATTCATCGATCAAATAATGTGATTAAAGATGTGTTGGATCGGCTCGTTGCCGTGAGAGGGAGTGGCATGCCGACACTGTACTCTTGGTCCTGCAAAAGGTGTGTCTGTATGTATGTGTGTGTCTTGGTTTTCCCTTTCTCTCTCTTTTGTTCTGCACTTTTCCTTTTCACTTGAGTGAAAAGATTTGTTTTCTGATTTCAGGAGCTATAAGAGAGGATATGTGTGGTACGATTTGGCAGCCAATGACATAATATATCCTTCAGAAGGAGCAGAATATGTACTCAAAGGATCTGAGATTGTGGAGGATTGTTCTGGTTTGTTTCTTCTATGCGACATCCCATTCCCAAATACCCAACTACGCCCACCAACCACATTATACCAGTAATTGTAATTAATCAATTATAGTTGTGTGTTGCAGAAAGAGTTCAACAGACTCGAGTGAGTAAGCGATCCCAAGTAATTTATCAAGATCCAGTAGCTTTTAACAGCAGTCGAAGATCGTTCCATTCTAGTCTACCCAGGGAGGGGGAAGATTTCCAAGAATACGAAGAACATGAAGAAGAGTACTATGAAGATGGAGAGAAAACAAGCAACACAAGCTCCACCACCACGCCCCATTCTCGCTGCTCTAGAGGTGTGTCCACCGGTGAACTCGAAGAAGATCGGGAACCTAAGCCTTACCCCCAGATGAAAACAGTCAAGGTAACTGTAAACCACGCGCCGCCGCCTTCCCCCACACCGGCCGACAAGTTACAACGGAGCGAGCAAATAAAGGAAGCAAACGGCACTTCTATAAGGTTTGAAGATGGGTTAGAACCGAGTCGCAGCTCGATTCTACTTCAGCTGATAGCTTGCGGCAGCTCGGCCGTGTCGAAGGCTAAAAACTCGCCGTGCATGAGCAATGGGGTGAAGAAAAGGGAAAGCAGCAGCGGCAGTGAGATTAGTGTGAAGAGAGAGGCTGTGAAGGTGTCTGAGGAGGAGATGATAAAGTGCATGTCGGAAAATCCGAGGTTCGGGAATTTGCAGTCGGAGGAGAAGGAATACTTCAGCGGCAGCCTGGTTGAGTCAAGGAAGGAGAACCGGGTTCACTCGGAGGCCGTGTTCAAGAAGTCCAGCTCGTATAACGAGGAAAGGTAAGAATTTTAAATTTTCAATATTACTAGCAGGGAATTTGTGTTTCTGGGATAGATCAGAATTAAATGGAGGATTGATATTTGATAATATCGCTTGCAGGAGCAGCAAGGCAGGGATCGCCGAGGAAGAGGAAGAGAAGGAGAAGGAAGGAACCAAAGGCAAATGCATCCTTCTTACTAATAAGAAATGTGGCAGAAAATGAATATCTACATACATGGATATGGTGTGATGTCTAATTATTAAACTAGTTATATTGATGATAGCCCACTCTTTTGTTAGTACTAGGAGAATGCACCTTCATGGTACTGAGTTGCATTATCATTAATAATTGTCTCTGTTTAATTGCTCTGGGGTACTAAGATATTTAACATAAACAGATCTCAAAACGGAATACTCCTCTTCTAATATGTAAGATGATTTTAACTAGGTTGATGCAATAAAATTGTTTTTTTATTTATTTTTATTCTGCGTAAATATTATTATTGAATATTTTCATATTAAATTGGAATGTGATTGGAAAATATTTTTGAAATAACTAGTTAAATGCTACTCGGATCAATGAGATCAGGTAGAAAGCCAGCAGTGAGGCAAGGGAATGAAAAAGCCATTACAGAGAGAAAAGGGTGTTTTTGAAGATTAATGAGAGTCTGGAGTATTAATAAGAAAAAAATATTACCCATAGTTCCAACTTATTGAGCACAAATAGGTCTTTTAAATTTTTGTTATTGCCAAGAGGTCCCAACTCCCAACACACTTGATGTTTGACTGGCCATTGACAGGTCAACATTAAAAAATTTTATTTTAATTATTTTAAAATTCAGATATTAAAAATTCTAGAAGCAATTTTTCACGTAGTGGTGTTTCTAAACATATTCCCAAAAATTTGATAAAATGATATATAAATGGGACGAAAAAAAACCTCTTTGCCTTGTAAATGGGATAAGAGGAGTATATATCTTATATATTTATTGTTTGAACTAATATTTTTAACTACATAATTTTGATAGCTATTTCTTGTAATAAAAAATGAAGGAGTATATTTTAAATAAGCTGATTTCATTGTTATTCAACTCTGTGTGAAGAAATTTCGGGCCGAGCTCCAGTGCAGAACCACTTTGTTGAAGTAAAGACTTGGACTGCAGCCCACAAAAGAACATATTCTAATTTATCAAAGCAATAGAGCTGGTTTAGTAGAAATGACTAGTCCATGTAAATTAATGTTTGGGTCACAAGAACTGTCCCTAATAGAAGAAGAACATTTGCACTTAAAAACAAAAAAAAAAATTCAAAGGCATACCAAAATATATTTCACGCTTTTGAAGAAAAAATTCCACAAGTTCAGTTTGGGTTGGGGCTAATAATTTGTTTGTTTGGATTTCATTCCATTGAAAAACTGAAATTGTACGGGCGCCGGCTTAAATCCTCCAATTAATTCACAGCATATTTAAACAATCTGACACAATTAAACACGCCCTAGAAGGTGTCACATGCATATTGAAAAAAAAAAAAAGGTCAATATCAAAATACTAAAATGTTACGTCACCTGTTCTCCATATCTATTACTATTTTAATTAATTAATGAAGGTAAGATGGTACAAAAATAATTAAATCTTGGTTACAAAAATAATTAAAGCTTCCTTAAAATGAAATAATAATTATTTTGAAACAGAAGGAATGCAAAATTTATTTGAAAAAACTAAGAAGCAAAATAAAATGAAGTCTAGATATCTTCAGTAATAAATAATTTACTGCGTTTAAGAAAAAATGATTTTTTTTATATTATTATATTTTGTGTGTTCCTGCGTGTCTCGCAAAATATTAAATCAGAGATCAAAATTAATAAAACAAATGTACACCTTTTAGCCAAACGCCCTCATCTATAATATATCATTCTATTTTCACTTCATAGTTCATTCTTTTGGTTTTCCCTGTTGAATTTTGCAATTCGGCATCGTTTTAATTAGTCGAAAAAGTTTTAGTTAAAATACTTTGTTTTTTAGGCATAGAAAGGTGCATAGGGCTGCTTAATTAATTTAAGTATTTAACGAACCACCTCTTGTATTCTTCCGTGGTAATGAAGCGGTGATGATATAATGTAAATGCAGCTAATGCTCTCATAACTTAGTAATGATAACACCTTTTTTTTTTTCCTGAAATCTTAAGAAATATAAATTATAATGAATTTGTATATTGTAATTGGCCCGTCCTCGCCATATTAATTACATGTAGCTCAAAGAACATAATTCACTTGTCGGTAATGTAATTTGTTATAAATTTTATAATATTATTGCATCGATGATGTTTTGATATCTATATATGAATATTGAATTGAATATACTGATAGTGATACATAAAATTTCAATAAAAAAATTACTATATTAAATCAAAGAATCTACGTCTTGATCCGCTTAACTAGCAAGGAAATTAAAGATGTCATATAGGTGATTTTTGGTTGGAATATAATGATGTCTTAAAGGGAAATTTTGTTCTTAAACTATTTGATTTTCTTAGTACGGGCGTTGGGTATCAAGCACTGCAATGTCGTTCTTGAATATTGAAAATTGTGCAATGTTTTTTTAACGAACATCTGTTACAAAAAAAGATCTCATAAAATTACAGATGAGCATACTACAAGAAAATTAATACCAATGAAATCTATAAAATGATGAATAAATGTCAAGAGGTTAATGTTATTTTTGATCCATATTAAAGACCAAACTTAATATACCATTCGTGTGGAGATCATTAAGGCGTACCCACTTCTCTAAGTATTATATATCTCGCCTCTTCATATGATCTCATGAAAGGGACCAATCTTGCTTTCTTTACCATTTGGGTTATTTGGCATCGAAAAGAATTGCTTTACAATACCAAACCAAGTTCCTCATTAGTACATGCAAGTTACCCAAATATAAGGTCTTTTTGAACTGATATTAATTTAATTTGTTTCATTTTGTGGAGGGCCATTTTTCCCAAAAAATATTAATGGAACGAAAGAAAGCGTATGAATATGAAGGCAAAGCCGGAGAGGCCCAGGTAATAAGTCACATCACATCACATCCGCACCTACTGGCACTGCCTCTCTAACCTCTGAAACATCCCATTTCAGCACCGAAGCGCCATCTCCGGACTCCTTTGTTTAACAATCAAACCAAGCGCCTTTTCAATTACCTCAAACAAATATATATAAGTAGGCTCCAACTTTTCTTAATATCATCAATCTTACCCCAGCGTTAGATTCACTCAGAAGGATTCCTATCTTTGTCTTCAACTGTAATATGCATATATAAATACATCTAACTGGTGGCAGGCACAGCATCATCAGTTAAAAACATACACGAAAAATGAAACAGTTCAAAACATTATTGATCAATCAGCCTCCCTTCCTCTTCTGCATTAGGAATAAGGGAGAGAATTAATTGATGCCGAATAGTAGAGGAATTGAAGGTTAGTGGAAATGGTGGCTGGTTCTGTGAAGGTTAGAGAATGGAGCTACAGTTTGGAAGAACTGGTGGAGATGGACAGGAATGGAGAGCACAAGAGAGAAGAGTGGGTGAAGAATCCTCCAGAGCCTCCAAGTCCATGGAAGCAATTATGGGACACAGCCAAGGACACTTATGTGCCTACTCGATACAATCACAAGTCTCTTTTCAAACGTATACTTTCTCTGGTTTACCACTTCTTTCCCATACTGCACTCTCTCAGACACTACAATGCCTCCAAGTTTAAGAACGACCTGTTGGCTGGTCTCACTCTTGCCAGCCTCACCATTCCCCAGGTACCGACCTCCCTATTCTCTTGCTCATTTCTTCTATATCTATATTTGTACATATTGTTAATGCAGATGATTTGAATCCATAACATTAAACTCTTTGAGCTTTACGTCAAATATTTTTTTCTTTCTGGGATTGTATTTCTTCCATACGGGCTATGAATGAATATGAGAGATTCAGTTTGCATCTTTACAATCATCATCAACTCTTGTTTTTAGTCTCTCTTTTCCAATATGCATTTTGGAAATACCATTTTATTTTATTTTTACTTAAGTAGGATAAAAAAGCTGTTACAAAAAACAAATAATAGAATGAAAAGTATCATTATTTTATTATTTATTGATGTGATTATTAATTTTTTCCCAAGCAATTATTTTTCTTTCTCAAAATTTTACATGGTTTAGGAAAACTTGTTTCCAATACATATAAGCTCACAGGATTTGGGGCTAATATAATATCTAATTCTTGTCAAATGTTTCTCATTTTGTTTGAAATTTGAAAATACATTATTTAATCCATATCTTATATAAAATCTTTTTGTTTTACCAATTTTCTAATCAAATGTTTCTCATTTTGAATTTTTAGGGAATGCATTCTTTAATATTAGGGATTAAATTGAATTTTTTTCCAGATAACAAGAAATTGATAACAAAATTTTAAAACTATGAAAGTTAAAATTAAAATTTACAAAATTATTTACAGTTTAAAATTAAAATTTACATAATTATTTACAGTTTCTTGAGGGATTATTTTAAGAATTCAAATTTTCTATAAAATGACATAAGGAAATACTCCCCGGTCCTTAATGTAAAACCTAATTAACTAGTTTGAGTACGTTAATGATGTTAGTTAAATTTAGTTAATATGATATGTTTTTTCTAAACACTCTAAGCATCTTCCTCAATTCTTTTTCTCCCTTCCCTATTTGATTATTGTTAAGCAAATATCAATAGGGTTAATTTAAAATAAAAATTGATAAACATATGAAATAAGTCTTACATATAAAACTAATATCAACTCCTCATTAGCTGGGCTTTATATTAAGGATTGAAAGACTATTAACATTTGTCTAGATTATATTTTTAATCGTTCAAAATATTGAGATATATAATAATTAATTGTTTTTAATGTTTGTGCGATTAAGTGCATATTATTAATAGTGTTCAAATGTGATAAACGACCAAAACAATATTCAGTATTTAATAATTGTCCTGATAAAATAGATTGTATATAAAAAATTTGGAAAAAAAGAGCATATTATTCACAACTTGTGAATAGCTTAACTTGCTAAAAGTTTTATATTTTATATTAATTGATATGCAGATATTAATGATACTAATATTAATCAACATGCAGAGTATGGGATATGCAACTATGGCAGAGCTTAATCCTCAATATGGACTGTGTAAGTTGAAGGATTACCTTTTAAGTTCTTTAAGCCAGCGGCATTTTTATGCATTAAGCTTTAAAATTTCTCATTTCGCTTCTTTTTGTAAGGAACTATCTAACTGGTGCAGTATGATTATTTCAGATACAAGCATTGTCCCACCTATGTTATTTTCCGTACTCACAAGCTCAAGGGAAATAGTGATCGGGCCTGTATCCGTGGATTCAGTGCTTCTTTCCACAATGATTGGAAAATTGAAAGATCCTCGTCACGATTCTGCTGCTTACACAAAACTCGTTTTCACTGCAACTTTCTTTACGGGCATCTTCCAGGTTTCCTTTGGACTCTTCAGGTCACTTTTTGGCCCCCGATTAACCTTCTAAACCTGAAGTTGTTTGATTTCTATTGAGATCATTCAATTCGTTCATACGATCAGATAGTTCAAATTTTGCAGGTTAGGGTTTCTGGTGGATTATTTTTCCCATGCAGCGATTGTGGGGTTCTTGGCAGGAGCTGCTGTCATCATTGGTTTACAGCAAATGAAAGGACTACTTGGGATCAGGAATTATACAAACAAAACTGATATAATTTCTGTCACGAAAGTTATTTGGACATCGGTGTCTGACCAAGTAAGATTAGAGAGCTAAGGGCATGGTGTGTGTGTATATATATATAGAGTTCATTGTTCTAAAAAGAAGAAATGCTTTTAATTTAATTTCATCAGCTGATCCTAGTGAATAATGGCTTTCTTTCACTTTCTTTTTTTTTTTCAGTCGAAGTGGAATCCTTCTAGTTTAATTCTTGGGCTCTCATTTCTGGCTTTCATTCTGATTATCAGATTTCTGGTGAGTAATAATGTTACTGCAAGCTGATGAATGTTTATGGGATGCACCCATTTTCTCTCTACATTATTGTCTCTAATATCATTTCCTATCTGCTTATTAGGGTAAAAGGCACAAGAAACTCTTCTGGCTGTCCACAATCGCTCCTCTACTCTCAGTTATTGTATCGTGTCTTATTGTATCAAGAATTAATGCTGATCATGAAGATAAATTTGAGGTCTTGGGGAAAATCGAAGGAAGTAGCTTGAACCCAAGTTCATTGTACCAGTTAAACTTTGATTCTAAGTTCATTGGGAATTTGGCCAAGATTGGGTTTATTATTGCCATAATTTCACTCACGGTGACGAGGCCCTCCACTTAATCTATTTCATTTCTGATAATTATATATCACCTTAATATGGTCTTTCTGATTTCCTGCGTGGTGCAATAAATTGAAGGAAGCTATTGCAGTTGGTCGATCTTTTGCCGCCTTGAGAGGATACAATCTTGATCCCAACAAAGAAATGGTATCATTAGGCCTAATAAACATTGTTGGATCTTTCACTTCATGCTATGTTGCCTCAGGTAAGCTTCTTTCATATGCATTAATATATTATTTGTGGTTTCTAATATAAGAGCTAGTTGGGAGTTGAGTTTGGTTCTAAATATAAAATCTTAGTCTATATTTTGTTCTCCCCACTTATCTTTTTTTGTCCAAACTATCCCTATTGATTTAACGTGTGGGAGTTTGCATCAAGGGATAGTTTCAATACAAATGGTTTAAAAAAGGTATTTTAGAAAACCAATACATATTTTGAATAAATAACTAATTTAACTAGTTTTGTAATCTTCTTGAATTACTTAAGCAGATATTCTTCCGGTCTTTAATATATAACCTAATTGTTGAGTTAATTTTGGTTCTAAATATAATACCTATTTTTCATATTTATCAATTTTTCCTAAATTACCTCTATGGATACTCCCTCAATCATAATCAAATAGAAAAAGGGAGAGAGAATATTACGGAAAATGATTATGGTGTTTTAGGAAAAACATATCATATTTTTTATAATTAACTACCTTACCTAACTTCCTTAATCTAATCAAATTAGTTAAATAGGTCTTATATTAAGGACCGGAAGAGTATTATGTTGAGGACCGGAAATAGTACATTAAATTATGAACGTTATTAAAGAAGAATGTCAGATTGGTCAGTAATACTAATTATGCCTGAACTGTATGTGCAGGTTCATTTTCACGTACTGCTGTAAACTATAGTTGTGGCTCGGAAACAATGGTTTCGAACATAGTGATGGCTCTTACAGTGCTGTTTTCGCTGAGACATTTGAAAACGTGGTTGTCTTCCACTCCAACAGCAGTACTAGCTTCAATGATTCTTTCAGCTTTACCAGGAATTATTGACGTGAAGAAAGCTATACACATTTGGAAGGTTGATAAGATTGATTTCCTGGCTTGTGCTGCAGCCTTCTTCGGGATCTTGTTTTTTTCTGTGGAAATTGGTCTTTTAACTGCGGTAATTTTCTCTCTTTTTAATTACTCTGTATGGAAAATCTAATTTAATTTTTAGATTGTAAGAGGATAATGCTCTAGGATATAGAAAAGAGAAGAATGATTGCACTGCATACATGAACTCGAGCTAGCTTGGTATTTGAGATATTTGGTCTGAGACAAACAAATTAAAGTCTTGATATTTGGTCTCGAGCAGAGAAACATGAGCTGGCTTTTCTCCTTTAGACTCCACTGTAAGATTGGACCTACAAAACATGCTTTAGCCATTAGTTTGGGAGTTTTGGACTTTTACCTTTATACTCCATCCATTCGTATTTTCATTTGAGACCCTTTTCATCAACTAAGCATTAGTACTTTTAAGTGATTTAGTTCATATAAATCTTCAAGTCCAAATTTAGAGTTTTGCTTTATAGTTAAATCAATATGTCAACCTTAAAACACAATTTAACTTAAAAGGAAGAGGGCAAATAATATGTGGGCTGACTAAAATATATATCTGGTGCAGGTTATCATATCATTTGCAAAGATAATGCTGATATCAATTCAACCTGGGATAGCAATTGTTGGAAGACTTCCGGGCACAGATGAGTTCTGTGATGCTGAACAATATCCAATGGCTGTCAAAGTTCCTGGAGTGTTAATAGTTCGTGTCAAATCTGGTTGTCTGTGTTTTGCAAATTCAAATCTTGTCAAGGAAAAGTATATACCCCCTTTCTGCGCATACCTCTCCATAGTTTAGTGTTTAATTTCTTTAATTAGACACTTCCTGTGATTTTAAGACAACAACACTTTTGTCTGTCGTGTTAAAGAATTGTTAGATGGGTGTTTAATGACGAAGCTGTGGAAGATCCCAAAGCACAAAGCACTTTCAAATACGTTATTCTTGACATGTCAAGTAGGCACAATAGAAACATGTCCTACTAGCTCTCTACTTAGTTATTTTAGCTATTTACTCTCCAAACAAAACTGAATCCTTTTTTTTTTTTTTTAATTTCACATCACAATCATAGGTCTCATGAATATTGACACAGCGGGGATTGCTTCTTTGGAGGAGCTGCATATTAGTTTGGCTTCACATGGGCTTCTGGTAAGTCTCTTTTATTTCATTTTACTTTTGTTTTGGAATATTTGTTGATTACTACATATATTTATAATAATCTCTCTCTCTTTTCTCAGTTGGCCATCGCCAACCCTAGGTGGCAAGTAATTCACAAGCTGAGAATAGCTGAGTTTGTCAACAAAATTGGAGAAAAAGTTTTTCTGTCTGTAGGAGAAGCGGTTGAGGCATGTCTTACAGCCAAAATGGCAGTCATGTAACCATAAATTAAATCTGTTTTCCTGAGAGTGTTTAGATCAATATAAAAAGATAAGAATCAATATTCTCATGAAATTTAATCACTTGCTTTAAAAAACAAAGTCTTCCAATTACAGTTTTGCTTCGAAAGGACTCAAAGTGCCTTCCTCCTCATATATATATATATATTAGAGTTCATTATGGGAATACATCAAGCTGTAATTAAAAACAATATGCATGTTCCAGTTACTGAGTTACGTTGTACTGGTAACTAATTCAACTGTCGTTTACTGCTAAATCCAGCATTCATCATCTCCAACATCCTTTAATGTAGTCTGTACCACTCACACTATGATGTCATTTCTTGCGTGCGTGTCCAATACTTTGGTATACAATTTGGACAGGATATGAGGTCTGTACAGTGGGATCTGGGAAATGCGTCAAGGTTCAATGAATGAGAAATGAATGGCGCTGCTGTTACGCGGTGCTATTACGCTCGTTTAGTGGACCAATAAATTAAAAAAAAAAGTTTTTTTTTTTTTTATCTGGCTAAGTTCTCTAATGTGATTGCTCCTCGTTGGTAATGGGGTTGACTCGATCGATAAAGCTTTTATTACTTATGGTTCTTCTTTTATTAATATTGAAATTGAAATGGGATGCTGCATCTGTCACAAAAGAATTTGATACCTCTACCTCTCACTGTACTGTTCTCCAACTTTGCCTTCCTTATAATTGCTCACTCTCAAGATTCCAATGTTATAGAGGTCAATCGCTGCAAAGAAGATTTGTTTTATCGAAATGAATATATCTATATGTGTGTGTGTACACACACAGACAAATATTCTTGAGATATCAAATAAACACCCCCCTCCCGGTGAAAATCTCAATATCTACATAATAAAGAATGTTGGAGCTGGTAGAAGGTTAATGGACTAATTGTATCATACTTTTTATGATCAGTCTGATCATCACTACCGTACATTTATGTTATTAATAAAAGAAAAGGAAAAAATTTACAAAAGGGAAAAAGAGGTTCCAAAACATGTACCAGCCCTGCAGGTTGAAACTTGAAAGAGCATATGGCAAAGAGTATATAAAGATTAATTAGTGGCCTTAAAAAAAAGTAATTTTAATATTTATTTGCATATTTTGATATGCTCCCGCTGACATCAACATTTGATAAGAATTTTGATTATTCCTAATTGTAATTTGCAACGATTCCACAAACCTATGTCACAAACTAGATTCAGTGCCCTTTTTGCTCCACACAAAACGAAAACTATAAAAAAAAAAGGTGGGGGACCTAATAACGATACAACTTGATCATTTTTGAATATTATAATTGATAATTGATGGCTCCTTTGCTTAAATTTCGCCTCAGAAATCATTATATGCTGTGCCAATAGGTCATGATTGAGTGACACATAAAAGAGAACTAAATAAAATTCAAGAGGGTATTGAGGAAACAGGGTTTTTCACCAAGTAGTAGTAGACCTTCAATATGCAGAATTATTGGGAAAGCCTTTTGAAGTGCAAACATATGCTTCCCTCATTTTCTTAAAATAAAGATTAGTGCTCACTAATTATCTTTGAATATGATTCTTGGTGTGCCTAGCTATGACAAGTAATTGTCTTGTGTTTGATTGATGTGATCATTGCATAGTCAATATGATCTAATCAAATTTAATTTTAAAACCACAATTAACCCATAATTCTTTTAATTAATCCTTGTGAATCTATTACTTCTCGAAAGAATGGATATGCTTTCTATCTATCTTAGGTGTTCCTTTGTATGGGGAACGTGGACAAGGAATCCCATACTTTAAATATATTTCATATATCATTAAGGTCCTGTTTCTAGTTCTCAATATCAGAGAGTTACCTAATTAGTTTTGATAAATTAAGAAAATCAACTAGATTGGTTAGTTAATTATAACAAATATAGCATGATCTCCTTAAAATACTTTTGTATAACATTATATTATATATGAGTGTATAAATTAGGTAAATTAATTTAGAAAAAATGATAAATATAAGGGATAAAATAAATTAATATCTTATATTTATGACCAAATCCAACATTCAACTGGTGTTTATATTAAAACAGAGGTAATATTCTTTCTCAGAAATAAAAATGCTATACTTATAATATTTTTGGATTTATCCTAAAATATGATTACTAGACATATATCCTTTAGTATTTATCCTTCTATGTGGCTAAATTTAGGGCGGCTAAATGTAATGGATTTTTAGCAAGACACTTGGACATTTCATATTCTCCACTCTTTGATAAATCAAATACAAAATTAATGATGAAAATAAATTAGTATCCCTCTTTTAAAAATGATTAAAAAAATTAATTACTAAATATAAAAAGTATATAAAAATTTAAAATAATTATAAGCACTAATTTGTTTGGAAATGACAAGGGCTAAAAGGAAGAAATCTAATTTCCTTCAAAATCACCCCCTCCCGGAAATATATAATATGAAAAACAATTTAAGTGCAATGTTATGTTTTGTGTAGCTGGTAAAAAAGCATGTTATGTTTTCTGTATAGAGAAAATTGTGATTAAAATATAACATGTGCTTTTCCCCCAACAATCACAACTTAGTAACATGCAATTGAATTTTTTTTTTTAAAAAAAGAAAACAAATCCACTTGTATCTGGTTAATATTTAAGCTAATGATATAGTGATGCTCAAGAAATCAACTTCTTTCCCTCAATTATTTAAAGTTTTAATGATATTGCGACAAGTCAATACTCAGAATAACAGTACAAATTGAATTGTTTACGAATTTGGCAAGGAAAGGAAACACGTAGAGAGGTGGGTTTAGGTCTATATAAGATGCTTCAAACGATGAGTTCTTCAACTTCAACCTCTGAAAAGGTTATAGCACTTGAGAATCTGCAAGTTTCATGAGAGTATAGTGAGGCCTTCTATCCGTGACGAGACCAAGCTAGGTTCTCCCAAACACTTCAATAATAATCAAACACATATCATGGCTTCTTCGGATTTGATAAGGTCCGAGTGGGTGCTCAATGCTCCTGAGCCTCCCTCTCTTTGGCGTCGCTTTTCTGATTCCCTCACCAAATCTGTTTCTCACTATCGCCACAAACTTTCCTCTCTGAGAGACCAGCCTGGTCCCAAGCCTGTTCTTTCACTTTTGCAGGAAGTTTTCCCTATTCTTCATTGGGGCCGTCACTATTCTCTCACTAAATTCAGAAACGATTTTCTTGCCGGTCTCACTATTGCCAGTCTCTGCATTCCTCAGGTTAACAGCTATCTATAATTCTTTATAATAACTTGCAACTCATACACATAGTTTTTGTACTACAATAATCTGCTATATTATAATATTATCTACAGAGCATTGGGTATGCGACTTTGGCACACCTGGATCCTCAATATGGCCTCTGTAAGTGGCATAACATGATCAACTTTGCCTATACAAATTGCAGTGCTGGGAAGTTTTATGTTTAATTAAATTGGTGAACTATTTTTGTATGATTAATGTTTCAGACACAAGTGTTGTTCCTCCACTTATATATGCTGTCATGGGGAGTTCAAGAGACATAGCAGTTGGACCAGTGGCTGTGGTTTCACTTCTTTTGTCTTCTATGGTTCAGAAGTTAATAGACCCTGCCTCTGATCCCCTTGGTTATACGAAGCTTGTTTTGACTACCACTCTTTTCGCTGGGATCTTTCAGGCTGCCTTTGGCCTCTTCAGGTCTCACGTTAGTTTATTCTTTTGTTTTCCCGTTTGTCTCACTTCCGTAATGGATAATGAAACACTTATCCAATAATGAATTGACAGGTTGGGGTTCCTTGTGGATTTTCTGTCCCATGCTGTTATCGTTGGATTCATGGCGGGAGCCGCCGTTGTTATTGGTCTTCAACAGTTGAAGGGACTGTTTGGTATCTCTCACTTTACCAACAAGACCGACATTATCTCTGTCCTCAAAGCTACCTGGAGATCATTCCAACATCCTGTATATTACTTTTCTTTAATTACTTTACATGCAATAAGTCTTTTATTATTCATTAATGTTTTTAAAAGTAAATGCTGGAATATCCTCTAATACAGTGGAATCCTCGTAATTTCTTCCTGGGATCCTCATTCCTGATCTTCATTCTATCAACTAGATTTGTGGTGAGTGATTCTTAAAACCATGATCAGGTCGGTCACATGCATGTTCTTTTATTTTCTCATGAACTCTGCCATTGATGAAAGACCTGAATTCTCCGGCAGGCTAAACGGAAGAAGAAACTGTTCTGGCTTGCTGCAATCTCACCTCTCGTGTCAGTGATAGTTTCAACTCTGATTGTTTTTGCGACAAGAGCTGACAAAAATGGCGTTAATATTGTGAAACACATCAGAGGAGGATTGAACCCAAGCTCCATCAATCAGCTAGACTTCAAAAGCCCCCATATTGCAGGAGTAGCCAAAATCGGACTAGTTGTTGCTCTCGTTGCCCTCACTGTTAGTGCACCTATCACGACTATGCTACAGATCGAGTTGTAATAATTATCTTTTCTCCGACGTTAATTATTCGAATGAATTAATTGGTTTCAATAGGAATCTGTTGCCGTTGGCCGCTCTTTTGCATCTTTGAAAGGTTACCGTATCGACGGAAACAAGGAAATGATGTCTATAGGCCTCACCAACATCATCGGATCTTTCACCTCCTGCTATGTTGCAACTGGTAATTGGTAACTTCATCTTTGTTTAAACGTCACACACATACATGTTCATAATAAAACTAGTTAGCAATATATATATATATATATATATATATATGATGTGTGATGAAACAGGTTCATTCTCGCGGACGGCGGTGAATTATGCGGCGGGATGTGAAACGTTAATGTCGAATGTTGTGATGGGTATTACAGTGATGATATCACTGCAATTCTTGACCAAGTTGCTGTATTACACTCCTACTGCGATTCTTGCTTCGGTCATCCTCTCTGCTCTTCCAGGGCTCATTGATGTCTCCGAAGCTTACAAAATCTGGAAGGTTGACAAGCTTGACTTTATCGCCACCTCTTCTGCCTTCTTTGGTGTGCTTTTCTCTTCTGTTGAGATTGCTCTCCTCTTAGCCGTAAGCATCATTCTTCATTTCCCATCTCTATCTTTTCTCTTGTCTTTTTCATCAATATATGGTGGGTCCAAAATGTCTCCTCAACAAATCCACGGAAATCTGCAACTGTCTCCCCAATTACTATAGCTATGATATGCAGTGTAAGAGTCAAATAACTAATTTACAGATATTAAAGAAACTAATTAAACTAGTTATCTAAAATAAATTAACATGTATTGATTTTCATATAATACTCTTTCTAAGATATGCATTATAACTATTTTTTGAGGGAACTCAATAGATACTTTTGAGAAAAAATTATAAATTTAGAAGACAAAATATATTAAAGCCCGGTATTTAGAATCAAAATAAATTTTTTTGTTTAACTCTTATATTTAGGGCCACACGTAGTAATACGACATTAAATAAATACGGCCCTAGTGGCCCCTATTATTTAAATTAAAATAATATTTTTGAGTGGTTTTTCAACATCAATAATAATGGGCACATATGGAAGAACTCATTAAATACTTCACTTTTTTTTTTAAAACAAAAATCTTGTATATATTAAGAACAATAAAAGCTTCCAGATGAGGTCTTTCATTAGAGGAACAAATTAAAGGGATTAACTGGTAGCTTTTGTAGATGTTCCATTTTCCGGATACGAAATCATGTTTTGTTTCTGTGGGAATGGCAAGGATTTAATTATATATGCCCCACCAACTTAATTATGGATGCACTATGGGTGATGCAGGATGGATATACATCTGTGCACAGTTGAAACTCCAATATCTCGGGAATCATTATTTATCATAAACAACTGCCTTCTCGTCAACTCTACTAAGCTATAGTATCTAAAAATAGTAGTAATGAACAGTGGTTCTTAATTCAAAGTGAATCGATTACCTTCATTATTATTTTTTGTTTTTTCCATTAAGAAATATAAATATGGATTGTGTTGTAACATAATGGTGCAGGTGGCAATATCGTTTTTGAAAATCATACTGATTTCAATTAGGCCCGGAACAGAAACTCTGGGAAAGCTTCCAGGAATTGACTTGTTCTGCGATGTGAATCAGTATCCTATGGCTGTGAAGCCTCCTGGCACTCTAATCGTACGCGTTAAGTCTGCCTTGCTTTGCTTTGCAAATGCCACTTTCGTTAGGGAAAGGTGTGTGTGTGTGTGTATAATTTGTCACTTTCAATGCTTAGAAAATATTATTATGAGTAACCATAAGCAGCAGAACCTTAATTACTTCTCAAATTTCGTGGAAATTAAGGATCATCAAATGGGTGGCTCAGGAAGAATCAGAGGACGACAAGGGAAATACCACGAGTACCATTCGGCTCGTGATTCTCGACATCTCCAGTAAGTTATTCTTACAACTCAAACGGGATCTTTATGCTGGCAATAAATATAATAATGTCACTAAGTACTTTTTATGGTAGATTTGGTGAATATTGATACGTCTGGAATTGCTTGTCTGGAGGAACTCCGTCAAAGTTTGGAGTCACAGAGGAAGGAGGTAATAATTAATTATTTATGGCACAGAGAGGAGTAAATATGTATATGTATTTCTGCAATTAATATGATAAAACGTACTTTTGACCTAATACGTATTGGACGTTATCAGTTAGCAATTGCGAGCCCTACATGGGAGGTGATCCACAAGTTAAAGGCGGCCAACTTTGTGAGCAAAATTGGTGGAAGGGTGTTCTTGACTGTTGGGGAAGCTATTGGATGCAAACAGAATTGTACTGCTACATTGGATTAGGATCCATTTGTGGCTCTCCAACCACTTGTTTAAAAGTCTAGAACTAGTTCTTATGTATGCCTCAATAATGCTTGTTTGACTCACTGTGCTTTGTCTTTATGTACTTGTGGTGTGACATAAATATATCCTAATAAAAAGCTTGTTTAATTTGGATTAACGTTGAGATAATTTTAGATTAATTTTAGCTTTTTATAAAAGATCCTTCTTTCAAAAGATTACTCAACCTTTTCTCTTTGTGGTGGCAACCAATGCAACTTTTTGTTTGAACCAGCGATTCCGTCAAATTTATGTCTTCTAATTTCTGCCAAGTCTCTTCATCAATTAATGTTTCTTTCCCCGCGCGTTCCAGAATTAAAAGTGCAGCAAGCTGCTAATGATTTCTAATGGTTAAAGATTGGACAAGTAAGAATGACGGCATAACAAGCTAATCAACGTGGCTCTTTTCCATTATTGATGAGAATTCGAATTGGAATTGTATTAAGGTTGGAGTTTTGTGGAAGATGACCAAATCTCCATGAAGGAGCATACAACAGATTACTCGGCATGACTAATTAAGCCATTATTAGAAAAGCTTGATGATAATTAATTTAATTCTAGACTTGAAACCCCCCCCAAATTTTATGATTATACTCCTCCGGTCCTTAATATAAGATCCATTTGACTAATTTGATTAGATTAAGGAAGTTAGGTAAGTTGGTTAATTATAAGAAATGTGACATGTTTTTCCTAAAACACCATGATCATCTTTCTTAATACCTTTTTCCCTATTCTACTTGATTATGGTTTAGGGAATATCTAAAAGGGTAATTTAGAGAAAATTGATAAATATGAGAAATGGGTCTTATATTTAGGACTAAAACCAACTCAACAATTAGGTCCTATATTAAGGACCGGAGGAGTAGTTAATTAAGCCTCTTAATGGTTTCAGTACTTTTTGCTGTCATCACTGTTTATGGTTGCTGCATTATTGAGTATTATGTTTAATATGTCCTGCAAAATGACTTTAGGGGAGAAGAAAATTAATGATTTGGACGTTGCAATCACGGCTTCTAATGGCCTAACCATGTCAAAAACATAAATGTTCTTTTTCACATGTCTAAATCATTAATATAATAAGAACTCAAGGAGTATATATGCAATTAAAACTTTCTTTATGCTTGCCTGTCTGAATTTGACACGATGATTTGGAGTCGCAAACAAACCGCGGGCAGTTGTGCAAAAAGAAAATAGATGATTTGGATATCAAGCAGATGACTATTTCCTTGAGTCTTGTACATCCATCCTTTAGGTCAATAAAAGCCTTTGTTTTTTAATTAAATGCTCCTCATTAATTACAATATAAGAAAAAACTTTGGGATAAAGAGAAAAATCATCACTGATTAAAGCCATATTTGACTAAAAAAAATTACTTTCCAAGTCCGAAATGTAGTCTTTTAACTAATTCTTCAACTCTAAACAAAATACTACCTCTAATCTTAAATATAAGAGTTAGTTTGTCGTATAAATTACACTAAAAACTACTTCTTATATTTAAGACTGAAGGTAGTAATTAAGATGATTATTTGTAATAATTATTATGTAGAGAGCTTATACATGACACTTTCTTTAAAATGCTCCTAAATATTATTGGTTCAGCTAGTCTTGTGAGAAAAAAAGAAAAAAGACCGAAGATCACGGTTAACAAGGAAAATAGTAAGACAAAGGGAGCTGAGAGCACTTAGAGGTAATGAGTGGATTTAGTAATGGAGGGGAAAGGAATATCTTAAAAGCTAATGATTTTGAATAGATTAGCACTATGTTGTTAGGTGTGTCTCCGGAGTCCAGAGGGATCCGGCTTGCCCTCTCATCTCATGGACTCTCCTGGAGATGTTCCTAAGCAGAATCACGTCCAAGTTCATGAGATGAAGAATGGTTGAGTGGTTACGACTGACGAGGTGGCACGTTTTTGGGCTTTTGATTATGTGTTTGGTTCACAACAAAACGTACAATATAATTAAATAGTGTCCAGATTCAATGTATGTTCATTCTCGTGATGATTTCACTTTGGCAGAGTGGTGAGTGGGTTGGATGATGAGCATAGGATCAACTCAGGAGTGTAAAATCGGCGCACGTTAGTTCATTATGAACCGTTAGTGCGGATAAGTGGAATAGAGAATCCACTTTAAATTCTTCATCTTCTCTTCTTCAACTCATCGATGTGATCCTAAAGCCAATCTTTTCTTATGAGACGTCCGTTAAAACGTTTTCTAATTCCCCTACTCCTATGATATATATATACACACACACACACACATATATATATACTGTTTTTTTTCAGGAAAATTGAAATAAGTCTTATTGAGAAATTAATTAACGAATAATGGTTCATAAGAATGTTGTATAACTTAATTTTTCTTGCGTGCAATTCAGTTTTTCTCTATGCAAATATTAGTTCTAATATTTTATGCAGACCATCTTCTCTTTATGTAACTTTTTTTTTTGTATGCTACTTATCTCCTCTTGTGCAATCCATAATTATATGGACCATTTGCTAATTAATTTTCTAATGAAAAATTTATCCCCAATTTCCCATTATTTTGGTGAATTATGATGCATACTTTTTTGATCCACTAAAAACACTTTAAAAAAAAGTATTTTTATATAAGTCGAGATAAAACTTCTCTCATATAATTATTTCATCTTCTAAAATCACTTTTAAAACTACAGTTTGGTTCCATCCAAATGCTCTCATATTTATGGGTCGTTCTTTTTTTCTTTTATGAATTTATAAGTCATTTCTAACATATTTTATAAGAATAAAAAATGTTGAACCTCAAAAGCTCCACCTTAAAAGTTAATAACTTTCCAACTTTACTCTATAATAACAATCTATATAATAAAAAAATAAAAGGTGCGTCCGAAAAATCTATTCTAAAAAAAGTCTAAAAAATCTTCTCTTTCTATGCTTTATAACTTGGATTAGATAAGTATATTTTCTCAAAATTAAGAAAAATTCTAAACCTCATTAATTTTTATTCCAAAATTTAATAAAATTTTAATTTTAATCCTATTTAGTATTTTTTTTTTTTAAAAAAATGATAGTCAACAAAAAAAATAAATTAGAAGTAAAATTATACATTCAAGCCTAATAATGTGACCTATATGGGTGCTATCATTCATAGTAAGTCATATTATTTGTAGTTGTTGAACAATATAACCCTTTATATATTCTTATAAATTAAATTAAATGGACGCCACGAAACTCAAATCCTAATTTTTTGAAACATTTTACCGTAATGACGCAGTTAGAAATAAAAGTATTACCTCCTATAATTAATATAACAATTAAATAACTAATTTCAATATATTAAAAAATAAGTAAATTAGTTTTTTAACAAATGTATTTTGATTTTTCTAAATTACTCTTTTTTTTTGTCAAATTCTAAATTATGGCATTTGATTGTGTATTAGAATTGCTTTTGATTAAGAGCTTCCTTAATATGTATAATTAATAAGGATATTAGACCAAAAAATTATAAATTTCAAAAATAAAATGAATTTAAATGTTATATTTAGAGTCAAAATGAACTTCTTTTCTAGTCCTTATATTTACTTATTTAGGACTGAAGCTACTGTAATAGGAGGTCTCATCATGTATTGAATTGGGCTAACAATTTTTTCTGTATGTTTTTTCTTGACATATGCACTCAGTATTCTCGTCAACTTCTTGGAAAATTACAAATCATATTAATTCGGATCAGACTGAGATAGGACTCATATGGGTAGCAATCCTGCTACCTGCATTACTGCGTTCCTAAAGAATCATACCGATGATCTTTAGTTAAGTTGAAACAATTCCTACTACTTGGTGCAAATACTTGGTGGTTTTTTTTCAACCTCAATCTGTTCGAAGGGATTCAAAAGGTTGAAACTTGAAACGCACTTGTTGGCAAAAGAAAAAGCAACTTAAAAAAAAGGTTGGAAAGCACATGTTTTGCATATTCGTAATTTTATTTATCTATACGCTCCTAATTGGAACCGTTGAAAAAAGTTGCAAGCCAGTCATTCATTACCTTTAATAATACAATATTACGGGTCCTAAAAATCAATGATTCATGTTTGGAGAATTTACACCAATTAAACCCAACTTGAATCAACCTAAACCATCTGGAGATAATGCCAGGTTTAAAAAAAAAAAAAACATTTGGCATGCGTTCATTGAAATCTGGCTTATAAAGTCTATTTTAAATGAAAGAGGTTAAAATAAAATACGGATTAAGTGAAATAAATAAAATTTTATGTTGCAATGAAATAAATGACACTACTACAAAAAAGAGTTTTCATGACTCTAATTTATGACGGTTATTAAAAAAAACACTGTAAAAAATATGACGGTGGCATTTCTGTAATTATAGGCATACTTTTAAAGGCGGTTATTTAAAAAACTGTCGTAAAAAGTTTATCAGAATTTTAAAATCCATTGTGTAATAATTTTCACTTTTCAGAGTCAGAGCTCATAGTTTCCCGTTACTGTCCTCACTCGATTTTCTCTCTCCTCCTACCTTTGTTAGCGTTTATCCTTTGCTTCTATCATCTCCATCATGTTCTTCCATCACCGTTGTTGTCGATGTTGTCATCACCATTGCCTCATCCTCTTCATTCTTATTTGTGAGTTTTTCACCTCCATTCTTTCCGTGGATTTCATAATTTTTGTGGTTTGATATAATTATTTTCTTTAGTTAAAAATATGATGTTTAATCTGAGTTTAAAGAGATCTGATTTTTATCTGATTTGAGTCTTTGATTTTATTTTTATTAAATCTTAGTGTCTTTGATCTGGTGGTTGAAGGTGAAGCTAAGTGGCACTATTACGGCGGGAAAGAATCTACGTTTGTTCTATCAGAATGTTTTTAACTGGTGAGAGATTATTGGTTAATTGATTTTCAGACCCCTTCCTTTGAGGCTTTATTCTCCCGTTCCATCCTGATCAATAGGGGTAAACGTAGACTTAAAAAAAAACTTTTCACGGCGATTCTTAAGCCGCTGTGAAATCCTCTACATTTTACGTCGATGGCATAGACGTCGCTTTCAAAACCGCCGTAAAAAGCTCATTTTAACCGCCATTAAATGTTTTTTTTTTATAGTAGTGTGAAATATATTTTTTTCACTAAGCATAAGT